AATAAAGTGATAGCTGTTCTCTATTCTACCTTTGTCAAACTTCATCTAGTGCACAGTTCTTGGTGCTGGGCACCACAGTTTAGGAAGGATATGGAAAAACAGTAAGCATCTATATGAGGGCAACAAGGATGGCTAAAGACTTTGAGCTCATTATCATATGATAGTCAGTTGAAGGAATTGAGGATGATGTGCCTGGGGAAGAGAAGACTCAATTATAACTGTCTTCAAGTATTTGAAGGGTTGCCATGTGGAAATGAGATTAGTCTTGTTTTGTTTGGCACCAGAGGTCATAATTAGGGCAATGGGTAGAAATTCCAAAAAGCCAAACTTAGGTTTGATGTCAGGAAAAAAACTCACCAACAATTACAGCTGTCTCAGGAACCCTTCTCCTTCATTGGAGTTCTTCAAACAGAGACTCTAATGTATCTTCTTTTGTATAGGATACTAGGCATTCCTTTTGGGTTGGATTAAATGGCCAACTGAGGTCCCTTCCAAATTCAGAAGTCTGATTCTGTTAATTTATCAAGAAGCAAGTTTAAGCTTAATGTAAAGAGTAAATTCCCAACAATAAGAGGGATTCAAGAGTAGGAATACCGGCAGAGTCTAGATGACCACTTGATAGAGATGTTATAAAGGAGACATGGGTTTAACTACATGGCTTCTGAGGTCCCTTTTTTCTCATATGCTGTAGTTGTCTCCCTAAAACTGGGTAGGATCTGTGGAATCTGAATAGTTTTAAACACAAATGTATATTCCTAACCTCTAACAAAAGAGCACATGCATTGGACTCTGTCATTTTCAAATCTCAGTATGGAAACCAAACCCCAGCATGAGTGGAAATCACCTACTTTCCATTCTGTAAATGGCATTGTTACTCCTTTTTCTCCCATTTCATCTGAAAGTGACTTAAAAGATTCAGTCTGGGGGTTGGGGGGGGGCAGTAATGTGAAATTTAAAAGATGAAGTCCACAGATTTGCCCTTTGCCTCTATCAAGCATCACTGCTGTAGAGTAATAATGAACATTTTCTTTCTACTCTCATTAATTTTCATCTTCATTTCTCCTCAGTATCATGCTCCTAAAGTCATTTCCCAACCCATACCTTATTTCACCTCTAGAGGTGAGCCATTCATCAATGATGTGAAGCTTTTTAAAAACATAATGATGTATACTGTGTTCCCTGCACAGTTATCTATTATGGCAGAAGACCTTGACTGGTTGTGAAAGCTTCTCTTCTCCTGCCTGACTCCATCCAGTTAGCCATAGACAACCTGGGCTTTATAAAGGCTCTTCATTTTTTCACTTTTATTGGTGGTTTCTTTCTTTATCCTTTAAAAACAAAATAGGAAACCAGGCCAGTGGGGCCTACCTTACTTAGATCCTCTGGAAACTCTTCTGAACCTGGTAATTCCAAGTAGGACTCCAGAAGGGATTCAGGCATTAGTCCAACCAAGTTCACGTTTTTAGAGGACTAAAGAGGAAAGTAAAATCTCAGTGCTAAGTTAGTTCCATGTCTGCCTTATCTAAAGAAAAGTTCCTACCCCTTCAATAACTCATGTAGAATATCATTTCTAAGTTCCTCGAGACCAGGACTGTTTTGACTTGCTTAACCAGAGCCTTTCACGGAGTGAGTGCTTTATAAATACTCATTTAGTTGAATTGAATATGTAAGAAATGTGAAAAAATCACAAAAGGCTAGATTTGAATGCGAGCTCTTCTACTTGCTACCTTTGGGGAAATCCGTTGAATTCCTTAGTGTCCTATGAGGCATTTAAACCACTATCTATAAGGACCCTCCCAGGTTAAAACTCTTATTTAAAAACATATAAATAAGAGAATTACTGTGATTAGGTGACTATACGACAACTCCAAGGAGGGGCTATGAAACACTCTGTCAATATGCATTTATTAAGCACCTTAGGCACAATCCTCGTAGCTGGGGATAGGAAGACCAGTCCCTTTCCTTACATTTCATTTAGGGGGAGACAATATGTACAGATATTAATATAGATAAAATATATACGAAATAAATACAAGGTAATGGGAGAGGGCACTAGCAACTGGGGAAATGAAGAAAGTCTTAATGTTAAAGGTGGTACTTGAGGTGAGTTGTGAATTCTTAAAGGTCGAGATAAGGGACTACATTTCAAGTATGTGGAAGATGGAAGGATGATACTTAATTCTCTCCACACAAACTGGTTTACTGCTTGAACTAGGCTTAGTTCAAGATGAAACTCTGATATCTTATCTGAAAAATCCCAGTAGTTTTATCTAGTTTGATTTTTTTCCTAATATCAGAGCTTCTCCCCAAAGCAGTAAATATTATTTGCCTTGTAGCAGGCACCAAAATCAAAACTAAAAATAATAGTAACAAACAAAAATATTAACCACAACTTAACACAATATCAAGAAGCAACTGATTTCTGTGGTAAAATACCAGCTTTGCCAATCAAATAACAGCTGCTTGGCATCCCTGCGGCTTGGCATCCACAGGAGATAACTTAAACATGAATTACCACTTTTTAAAATATATCATTCGTAGGATTTAGACTCAAAAAAGCCTTTAGAAATTGTGCAGGTCAAAGCCACTTTTTTTAATAATTTTTTAATAATTAAGGAAATATGGGTTCGGAGAAAAAAAGTGACTTACCAAAAGTCACCCAGATAATGAGGAGCAGAGCAGAGCAGAGCTAAGACTCAAACCCAGATTCCCTGCCTTCAAATCCAGAGCTTTTTGCCCTGCTCCAATCAAGATATGAAAAACTTACTGACCAGTATTACTCAGAAATGCTTATGGCACTACAGGGAGCTAAAATGCATCATGGGGGATACTTTTGTATGGCCCTAACTATATGAATAGTTGCCTTTGCCCACTTCTCTCTGCTGCCAGAAAATCCCCGCATGCCTCCCTACTCTTATAGTCGCTCTCCTTGCTAAGTTAGTCCATTGTAGCCAAGCCCGTGAAAAATTCCACCTCACCACCTCTCCATCTCCCCTCTTCCCCTCCTCCCCTTTTTCCTCCTTCCCTCCTCCCCAACTCCCCTTCTCTCTCCTCCCCTCAGAAAGCTGCCCACCTTTTGTACTCTCCATTTGCCTGCCTCAGGATAGCAGCCACTCACAGCCCTCCAGGCCCACAGTTAGTTTTCACTAGGGTTTTTCTCTTCCACCCTCCCATGAATGACAATTAAACACCTCAGAAAGTTGCCATGTTGTTAACAGTTTGCAACTTTCTCAGTAGCTCCACTTACTTTAACACTAATGTGTGTACAACTTGCTAATTAATGGAATCATCTGAATTCGAAAACATCTTGTTTTAATAGGAAGCTACAAAGCACTCTCAGTAAATTCACCAGTAAAATTATTCCATCTTTTTTCTTCTTTTTTTCCTTTCCTGGCTTGGTTTAATCACTAGAAAGTATTCTTCTAATTAGCCTAACAAAACCTGCTCCACCAGGCGTGACCTGAGCCTCTACTCTAAGGCAGTGCTTTTAGAAAAGACCCTTGATCTATCCAAAAATGCCTGCAGTGATGAAGGAAATCAGGAAGGAGGTAGGCAAAAGAGATGAGCCCACGCAGAGATATTTCATATGCCATTTCTAGGAATCAGCAGCTTGATGTAATGGAAATGTTATATTTGGAGTTAGAAGGCTTGGGCTCCAATTAATAGAGTAATTTCCAAATGTAAAAATTGTGTTATGTGAATTATTGGACTATCACTGCACCATAAGGAACAATGAATATGATGATTTCAGAGAAACATGGAGAAATATGTGAATTGTAAAGTGAAGGAAGTAGAACCAAGAAAACAATCTCTATGGGGCAGCTAGATGGCACAGTGGACTGAGCAGCAGCCCTGAAGTCAAGAGGACCTGAGTTCAAATCTGACCCCAGACACTTACTAGCTGTGTAACCCTAGGCAAGTTCACTTAATCCCAATTGCCTAAAAAAAAAAAGAAAAGAAAAGAAAACAAACTATGTGACTACAATAATGTAAATGGAAAGAAAAAACAACAAAAATTGAATGCTCTGTCATTATGATGTCTAAACCTGATCCTGAAGAAGACATGAGAAAATGGACTTTTCTTTCTCTTGATACAGAGCATTACATATACTTTCAGACTCAGCTGATGTGTTAGTGAATTTTTTTTTCTTTTTTTCCCTCACTCTCCCTTGTATTCTCTATTACAGGGAATTATTCTCTGGGTGGGGAAGGTGGGAAGGATAAATTTGGAAATAAATGTGACATAAAATCAGAAGATATCAATAATTTTTTAAGGAGAAGATTTGGACTCTAGCTGCACATCTGTTATTTACTAGTTATTATATGACCTAGAACAAGTCATTCTTTGAGCTTAACTTTCCGCATCTGCAACATGGGGCAAATACATCATGGTATAATGAAAACAGAACAAAACCCTGTACCTGATGTCAGAGGCTCTGGGTTCAAGCCACCTATTACTAGCTCTCTGACCTAGGACAAATCATTTTTAGAGCCATGCTTTCCTCAGCTGTAAGATGAGAATGATACAGTAGGATGGAAGCTCCTTAGCCCAGTGGCTTGCATGTTTGTCATTTAGCCTGATCCTGTGGCCAGAGCACTGGCTCCTACATCAGAAGACCTGGGCAGAAGAGTCCTGCCTCACTGTTTTTACTTTGGATAAGACACAACCTGTCCAGATCTCAGTTTTCTGATCTACAAAATGAAGAATTTGTACTAAATGGCCTCTGAGGTGCCTTCTTCGATCTAGGATCCTATGAAAGGATTTTTAACTTAAAAAATGAAAAGGATAAATTTTGTCCAACTTACATAATCCATGAGGACCCAGGAGATAATATGCATAACATCACAGCGGTTAGAATTGGAAGGGGCCTTAGAAATATAGGATGCCCTCATTGTACGGTTAAGGAGATAGACCCAGGCAGGTTAAGTAACATAAAGACGTTTAGAGCCATGGCAATCTATCACTGAGAGTTATCCGTGTTATCATTCTCTCATTGCAGGTCTTCAAGTGGTTTTAAATTCCATCATCAAGGCCATGGTTCCGCTGCTGCATATCGCCCTGCTTGTGCTATTTGTCATAATCATCTACGCCATCATTGGGCTGGAGCTCTTCATGGGGAAGATGCACAAGACTTGCTACAACCAGGAGGGTTTAACAGGTAATGAGATATGAAAAAAGAGGGGGCCGTTCATTATTGAAAGGGTGTACTGGTGCACTGCTATCAGAGCTTGGAAGAGAACGGGCAATCCCTTGGAATTTTAATTCGGAATTATTGAAAAAAAGTGATGTGATCTTTTGAACCAGCAATCCTCCATCTATACTCCCAGAATATAAAAGACTGAAACAAAAATCTAGTCTACATTAAAACATTCCTGGTAGCATTATTTATGTCAACAAAGAAATGGAATCAAAGTGAATGTCCATGGACTGGGGAATGACAGTAAAAAAAAAAAAAAACATGAAATAGGAATGTAATTAAATATTATGGGGAATATGATGAATTCAGGGAAAGGTGAAATTTGCATGAACTGACAAAGAGCAAAATAAGCAGAACCAAGAAAACAATATACACAGTGATTACAACAATACAAGTGAAACGATCACAAAAAGTAAGTTGAATTTTGAATAATAGAAAAATAAATAATGGCCCAGAAAAGAGATTCTAAGCGCCTCTTACGACAGAATGATGGGGAAGTACGGGAACAAATTATATACATTGTTAGACACAGTTTCTATATTTGTTTTCCTTTAATTATTTTTCTTTATCACAAGGGACATAAGATGCTTGCACTTGGGGTTCACTTTATAAAGCTAGATTCACAGGCTAGTACTCAAGAAGCTATTTATTCCTTCCAAAGGCTTGCAACTAGGACACATTTCCCCAGTGTAAATTATGGTGCCTGGGTTATGACCTTATAATTCAGTTAGGCTTCCCATAGCAATGGATAGTACCTAAGAAAAAGAGATTAACAGACTTTTCTAGCCTGTTCTGCTTCTTTACAAAAAACAGAACTAATCAAAACAGCAAAAAGTAACAAAAATAAGAAATAATAAAATAATAAAAAGTAGGCAGTATTGTTAATCAAACATTGTTTAAACAAAATTTGTAATTAAAGTAAGATTGAAGGAAATATGAAAGAAATCATTGTGTCTAAGAACAATTATATCAATCAATCAACAAGCATTTACTAAGTCTCAGAGTTCTTTGGACTCACTCTACCAGACCAAGGCTGGTTACATCTCATAGGGTTCTAAGGGTACCCGTGAGGGTTCCAAATCTATCTTTATCAAATGCTATTGACTTAAACCTCCATTCTGGTATTCCTCATCCTTTACTACCAGTGAATAGTGCCCCAGTTCCATTTAACCAATTAACATCAATTAGTTTTTACAAAAAGATACTTACTTTGAAGATACAGCAAGAACAAAAGTGTAAGTATCAAGTGGACTTGATCTCCTAAAGTTGTAGTCATCCTCAATCTCCTTCACCTAAAATAGAAATGAATAGACACAAAGTCATGGGCTACATTTTGACCTATGACTCTCTCTTCAAGCACCACTAGGGAGAAAAAGGAAAAAAAATACAATAGCAAGCCTTTTGCTTTGACTGGTATTTTGAATGTACCCCATTTCTGTTTATACAGCCAATCAATCTACTATCTCTTCACGACATGGTCAGTCAAACAGGCCTAGTTACGGAATGTCTTCACATGCTCCAGATTGGTATAAGAGGTCTTCTTTACGCATTATCATGCCTTTCTAGAAGCACGCTCCTCAGTCTCTTCCTTGGGGGGAATAAATTACCCCCTCCCTGCTTCCACTCCCTTACAAAGTGAACACTATGAGCTGGAGATGCAAGCACCAAAAATAAATAAACACTCCCTACCTTTATTGAGCTGAAGATAATACAATTAGAGATTTTTCAAACTAAAAAGAACCTTAGATTTCATCTTGCCCAACTAGAGAGGTTAAGTGCCTTACTTGCCTATGGTCACATAGCAAGTTATTATTCCCTAATCTTTCACTTGTGTCATCACTGCTTAATCAAATGCTGGTTTTACCGAGATAAGAGTAGAACACTTTATAATTTAAGAGTCAAAATGTTCCCAGGGCATGTGTACAACATTGGCGTTTGGGGGTGGTGATATAGTTCAACACCAAAATCCTTTGCAGGTGGCTTTTCTAATCTAACAACAACTTCTCTCTTTAAAAGCCTGGAGGTTTCATTTACCCTTTTTTCCTGAACTGAAGGGATAAAACTAGATGATCTCCAAAGTCCCTTTCTGTTCTAATCCTATGAGCTAACAAGGAACACAGCTCCTAGCTTTTTCTACTGCTCTGTAGATGAGCAGAAGCAAAAAAAGACATGTCATGAACACAGTGCAGCCCCTTGCTAGCAAAGCTCCTATTCAGGAGACCTCTTCTGCTTCTTCCCTCATAATCATTACTGCTTAAATAGCTCAGTCATTAAACACTTTCCTTAGCTGCGCTTCCACTCTGATGCACAAAATTATCTGCAAGAGGCTTTCTAAAAGACTTTGGCATTACAAAATTAACAGTCGATACTAGAACACAACTTGTAAAAATTTATTTAAACAGAACTTAAAGATTTTAAACAGTATGCTGGGAAGAGCTTATCAAATTATTTGTATTACCAAACTTAGGCTCTTTAGTCATATATGATCTTAGTGGTTAATGTCTCAGGGATTTTTCTATCTGAAGTTGAAATGAAGTCCCACTTCTTTCCATTTACATCAGTTACTTGTGATTACATTAGTATGGGAACCCCTTTTATCAATGCAGATTATACAGTAGATGGAGTGCCAGGCCTGTAGTCAGGAAAACTCATCTTCCTGAATTCAAGTCTGGCCTCAGACACTTACTAGCTGTGTGACCCTGGGCAAATCACTTAAACCTCTTTGCCTCAGTTTCCTTATCTGTAGTATGAGGTGGAGAAGGAAATGGCAAACCATTCCAGTATTTGCCAAGAAAACCTCAAATGAGGTCATGAAAAGTCAGACAGAACTGAAACAACTGAGCAACAACTCACAGAATTATCTGAACCTTAAAGATTTTAAAAGACACGCATGGTCATATAGCTAATGTCAGACGCAGGATTTGAACCTCGCTCTTTCTGCTTACAAGTCTAGAATTTTGTCCGTTAAGCCATGCTTCCTTGTACCTATCCACTTAAAACTACATTTTCTTCATGCTATCCTAAGGGGTATTTTGGAAGTCAATGACATTATTTATACAAATCACTTTTCTGGGCCTCATTTCCCTTATCTGTAAAAGGAAGATGTTACATTAGATCATCTGTTTGGACTCTTCAAACTTTTGTTACTCTATGAAAGAACAGGATCATTCAGAATAAGTCCAAAGTGGACTGGTTGGTTTAAATGATCCGGTTAGACTAGCTGCACAAAATAGATTAACTAGCCAGTTTTCAGGGTTCCAATTCACTTTATGCAATAATGATAATAATTGCAATCACAATCTGGATTTGTTTGTTAAAATAGAGGCATTTATGATGGCAGTTGAGAACTAGAGTTTTGCCACCAGAAATTAGAGAAGGGTAATTAAGGATTCCAATTGTAATGATCAATGTAGATTATACAAGAAAATAATAGAAATTATGCAACTCATCATTGCAGGCTATAAAACTTAACACCTACCAAATAACTTGCAAGACATGACTAAAATTATACGTCAGAAACTCATTATCTTTCATGGTCAGGGAGACAAAATTCCCCAAACCACAGTCCTCAAAATACCCCTCAACCAGTAAATGGCACTGGAACTGAACCATTATCACAGATTGTACTGCTGCCTATAATCTCTGAGACATACTTTGATTCATAAAATATTAAGAATGTTTTAAATAAATGTCACCATACTAAATATTCAAATTTTCTAAGCTGCGTGGAATGAAATGCTTTCAAAATATAGAGACCTAGCAAAAAAATCTAAATCATATAGGAACTGGATTCAATATATATCATTCCTCTTGTCCTATCTACTACTGGACTTGTACCAAGGTTGCTTTCAGTTACCCTAATTAGGATAAATTGACATATTACTACATTTATTCAGCTATGTAATAAGCTCCAGAGCAAAAAATCAACAAGAACTTATTAAGAGCTTACAATGTGCAATGTGTATAAATGCTGAGGTTAAAAAAACAAACCACAATTCCTGCCTTCAAGGAATTCATATTCTAATGGAGGAGACAACCTGTAAACAACTATGTATAAACAAAATATATACAGGATAAAATAGGAGGTGATCTCAGAGGAAAGATATCAGCAGTGGAACCAGGAAAGGCCTGTTGGGCCCCCTGATGGTGGGATTGGAGCTGAGTTTTGAAGGAAGTGAGAGAAGTCAAGAATTGGAGGTGAAGCCAGACAGTTTTCAAACATTTTGCCAATGCAAAAGCAGAGAATCAGGAGAAGTGTCCTGTAAGAGGAATAACCAGAAGGTCAGTGTTTCTAAACCATAAGAGTTCAGAAAAGAGTTTTCTGGGGCATAATGGAGAAATCCAGAGGAGTATATAGACTGATTTGTTGTTCAGGTTTTGTTTTGCTTTTTCAGTTATATCTGTCTCTTTTTGACCCCATTTGGGGTTTTCTTGGCAAAGATACTGAAGTGGTTTGTCATTTCTTTCTCCAGCTCATTTAAAAGTTTTTTTATTTATTTTGATTTATCAATAATCACTTCCAGAAGCTTTTGAATTTTAAATTTTTCTCCCCCTCCCCACCTCCCTCCCAAAGACAGCGTGAAATCTGATATAGGCTATACATTTCCATTCCTATTAAGAGTATTTTCACATTAGTGATGTTGTAAGGAAGAATTAGAACCAATAGGAGGAACCACCAGAAAGAGGAAACAAAACAAAACAGAAGAAAAAAATAGCAAATAGTATGCTTCGATCTGCGTTCAAACTCCATAGTTCTTTCTTTGGATGTGGATAGCATTTTCCATCATGAGACCTTTGGAGATGTCTTAGATCCTTGCATTGTCTCCAGATCATTTTTATAAGTGAGGAACTGAGACAAACAGGGTTAAGTGACTTGCCCAGGGTCACACAGCTAGTCAGTGTCGGAGAACAGATTTAAACTCAGGAAGATGAGTCTTCCTAACTCTAGGTCTGGCACTCTG